ATGTACAAATGCACTTTACACAATTGATGTGTGTATGGATTGCGATAACAGTTTTATGAGCCCCTAATAAAATGTTTAAATAAAAAAAAAGATTAAAAAAAACTCATGTGCTGGTGAAATAGCCACATGGTAGCCGAAAACCGTATACCCTGGCTTGTTGTGCATTCTTTCCAAAAAAATCGGAACTATTTAAAAATGCCGCGGGACACAGGAAAAATTGTTAAAAATCGGGACTGTCCCACCAAAAGCGGGACGTCTGGTCACCTTACTCTAAGGCCCTTTCAGCTCTGACATTTTCTCACTGCCATCGAGCTGATTCCAACGCACAGTGACCCCACAGGACAGGGTCAAGCTGCCCCTGTGGGTTTCAAGGCTGGAGTTTTATGAAGGTAGAAAGCCTCACTTTCTTCCCTGAGGATCTGCTAACGGTTTCAAAGGGCTCACCTTATGGTTAGCAGCCAACAAGTAACCACTACTTTACTCTCTCAGTAACCCTGCCTCTGCATCAGCCTCACTGCTCCTGCCATCAGGTCAATATGAATCTAACACCTCCCCAACCAGAGAGCGAGACAGAGTTTTACTTTAAAGGGCGAAGTTAAACAAGTTCCTCAAAACCAACTGTAGGTGTCTCCCTTCGCCTGAGACATCCACTGTAAAACTGGGTCAGACACCAGCAACTAAAGCAGATGTTGGCTTAGTTGTGTTATGACTCAGCTGTATGTAGGCTCTGAAATTGAATGACTGCTTAGAAAACCCCGAATTGCCAGGCTTCTGAGCCGTTTAATCGAGAGGCAGAAAATCAGGCTGCTTCCAGGCCCCCCGTGGCTGTCCAGTCAGTCACCTTGACTAGCTCTCCCTCATCCTCGGGGTCCCTTCCACACCTCCTCAAGCTTCCCACGCTGTGCCCAAGACAAAGCCACAAAGAAAATATGGATTAGCGTACATTTGTCTAAGACAGCATTCTGAGAATTACTTGTGTAGGGCATTCCTCTAGCCCTTGAGTAACTTCAAATACTGCTTCTCAACTATCTCCCAACTTAAGGGACAGAGACAGTCATTTCAATGTAAAATAAGTGGGATCGAGTGCGGGCCGTCCCCAGGGTGAGGAACTAGAATCTAGATTTCTCCAGCTTTCCATCCCCCCCGGAAACACAGGCTGCCTTGAGTTGATTGACTCCCTCAGTTTAGAGAGAGGATTTCAAACAGCACTTGCGGCACCCAAATCACTAGTACACAATCCTGCATAGGCATCGCTCTTGCCCCAGCACCACTTGCACAGGAACCACTTTGCAGGGATGCTTTTACCCAGACGTCACCACAGGATGGGTTGAGGGCATGGGCGCTGACATCGTACTGGATGTGAATTACAGGCGCTCACCTCACCGGCTAGGCAAGTTACTTCCTCTCCATTCCCCCCGGTTTTCCCATATGTGAAATGGAGCGGCTGAGCAAATTGTGGGAGGTCATTGATCCCTGCCAATGCCCTTAGCACAGCGCCAGGCCTCTAGAAGAGCATTCGCTGCTAGGAAAGAAGAGACGTGTGTCTGTAGCTGAGGTCTATGAGAAAGACTGGTCTACTGCTACTCTTTTCAGCTGCCATCCTGTCTCTTCTGACTCATGGCGACCCTATCGGGCAGGACAGAATTGCCCCTGTGGGTTTCTGAGACATAACTTTAGGGGAGTAGAAAGCTTCATCTTTCTCCTGTGAATAGATGGGTGGTTTCGAACTGCTGACCTAGAGGTTAGCAGCCCAACCCATAACCCACTATGCCACCAGGGCTCTTATCTTGAATCTTTAAATATTTTTTCTTATGTCATTCTTGAGACTTTTCATTCATTATTTTCACAGCTTAATTGAAAGGACTATTTTTTTTTAATTACAGACACCTTAATCGAATTTCTCTTTCATAATTTGCCCCCTCATTTAGACTTATTTTCTTTCATTCCACCCCATCCTGAACACCCCTCCCCACATCCCACTACTCAGGGAGCTTGGGGACTCCACTCTATCCCTTTCCACATGCCAATTCAGAAGAGAAAGCATGTTCATTCTCCATTCGCCCTCAAATGCCTTCCCTGGGAAGTCATTGAATGGAATCTAACCAAAGGTCTGAGGGGCAAAGCAAAACTAAAACCTAAACTCCTGGTGCCCAAGGGATTCCCACCCCCTCAACAATGAGCTGCAGGCCCTGGAACACAAGATTGTGGCAGATGTGGTTTTCCGGCCTCTGAGCATTTAGCGCTAAGATGTGGTGTCCCTAGCTCAGATAGTTAGTTGCCACTCCCAAACAACACTCTACTTTCAAGTGGTTTGATGCCTAGCCACTAAAAGTGTGTCTGAGTGCTCTCTAGACACTCTAAAAGCCAAATCCACCTGTACGGTTCTTCAAATTTGTCCCAATGGAAAAGATCAGCTATTCCACAGACTATTAAAGTACTATTAAAAAAAAAGAATTTAAAGATTTTTCACTCGGTAACTCAGTGGAATCAGTCAATCGATCCTTTTGGAGTGTGGATATAGGATAGTTGATAAACTGGCAAGAATATATTACGAGGTTTCTTTCTGTAAAAAAGGTACAATGAACAACCCAGGAAAGACATCAAGGGCTCTATTTCTTGGATGTGAAAGTATTCAAAATAACTTACCAATGCTTACATTTCCACCATCCAGCAGTTAGAATATAAATTTAATCTATAGGTAATACCTAAACCCAAATAGGTGTCTCTACAAGATATCCATCAGGCACCTGGTAGTCTAAGGGCAGAATTAAGTCTCAGAGCAGTGAAGAGAACTGACCTGTGGTCTGGCCGGGTTGGGACTTGCCTGGGGCCACAGCACCCGGCTCCCTGTGCGGAGAAAAACTGGTTGGGTTGGGATAGAAAACTGGGATCCAGTGAGGTGTTTGTAAGGAGAGAAGAAAACAGTATTGCTTATGCCACCCACCTTACAGCCATGATCATGCTCCTGCAGAATTCTTGTTTGTTTGTTTGTTTTCAAAACTCAAAGGACATGTAAAAAAAAAAAAGTGCATGATTTGAGTCCCCCGCAAAAGTCAAACTGCCATTGTGATGTGGTGTGAACAAAGAGCCCAGAATTCTTGGGGGAAGGTTTAGAGAGATAGAAAGTGCCTTCAGACATGTATAACCCTCACTCAGTACCATTGAGTTCATGCCAACTCCTACTGACCCTGTATGACAGGGTAGAACTTCCCCCCACAAGTTTCCAAGACTGTAACTCTTCACGGGCATATAGCCACTGGTGGTTTCGAACTACTGACCTTTCAGATAGCACCCCAATGGACTGTAACCACTATGCCACCAGGGCTTCTGTATTGAGCTTAGATCAAGAAACAACAGTTTCACATTCTGATATTATTGTTTAATAATGGTTTGACTTATTTTTTTACTTACCTTCATTTACCATGGGATATAGAAGAGACCATTAAAGGAGATGCCACTATTGTTGACACGATAGATCTGGGAGGTGGCCGTGGGCATAAGTAGGGTAGTGGCTCAACTTGTGTTAGTTCCTGAAGGAGAAGAGTTCAAGGAGCGGAGAGGACCTGGTGTCCCCAGGATTCCCTCTCTGTATATTGAAATCAACAAAAAAATTAAGACACAAGTTTTCAATAGCCTGATATGCATGAAAAACTGAACAAAAAGCAAGGCCAAAAGGAAATGGACACATTTGAACTGTGTCGGACTGGCAGAAAAGCAAACAGCAGACTTGGAGGAAGTACGGTTAAAATGCTCATGATAAGCAAGAATGGAGAGACTTCATCTCACTTACTGTGAACACCTCATCAGGAGGGACTGATCGCTGGAGAGGACATTGGACTTGGTAAAGTACAAGGTCAGAGAAAAAAGGGAGACCCTCCGTGAGATGGACTGATACCATGGCTGCAACATTGACCCCAAAGGATTGTGAGGACTAAGCAGTATTTGTTCATGATACATTGCTGTGAGTTAGAACTGACTCAATGGACCTAACAATATGACAACAAATATCAGACAAAACGATAATAAGCTAGAACCTGAAAGTATCAGAAAATGGAAACAATCCCATAGTTGCAGTAGATGAAGAAATAGTGAGAGAGTGAATGATCTAGTTTGATGACTTAAGAGGCAAAGCTAAAGGACAGGTAGAGGGGGAGGGAGAATGACTTAGTAGCTTCATTACCTAGAAAAAACACCACATAGAAACGTCTGGCCCTTGACCACATCTAACCGACCAAATTGTGAACGGAAATATCTGACGAGAACCTTGTAAAAGTCTGTTCTCATGACAAAGTTCACTTGGAGACCAAAGTGAAAAAAAAAACAAAAACAACCTGCCATTTTTTATGTGATATTAATCACAGATCACAGAATTCCTTAGGGAAGGTTTAGAGTGGTTCTCAACCTGTGAATTGCGACCCCTTATGGGGGTTGAACAACCCTTTCACAGGGGTTGCCCGATTCATACCAGCAGCAAAATTACCGTTATGAAGTAGCAACGAAAACAATGTTAAGAAAAAAAATACATTTTAAAATAATAAGTTTCTGGTTGGGAGGGTCACCACAACAGGGGGAACTGTATTAAAGGGTTGCGGCATTAGGAAGGTTGAGGACCACTGGACGGAAACTGCCTTCAGACAAATATAGACCTCACTGCCGTCAAGTCTGTGTCAGATCTTAGTGGCCCTATCAGGCAGGATAGAACTGCCCTTTGAGAGGATCCACGACTGAGACTCTTCGTGGGAGGAGAGCAGCTGGTGGCTTCTCACTGATGACCTTTTGGATCACAGCTCAATGACTAACCACCAAGGCTTCTGTGTAGACTGAGACAGCGGAGCCTCAATTCAGCCCTCTTCCCTGACACTGAAACTCTCTGCCTCAAAAGTCTTCTTGCTGCTTGTGCAAGACTCATTCTCCCTAAATAAACGAATCTCAACCCCTTTTATCTGCCCTTTCCTTTCCATCCTGACTCACCAAACTAACCAAACTCAATGTCATTGAATCAATGTCGACTCAGGCAACCCCAGAGGACAGGGTAGAATGGCCCCTGTGATTCTTTGAGACTAACTCTTTATGAGAATAGAAAGCCCCATCTTTCTCTGGCAGAGCAGCTAGTAATTTAGAACTGCTGACCTTGCAAACAATAGCCCACCTTGTAACCACTGCTCCACGAGGGCTCCCTTTCCATCCTCATGGTCTCTGTTACTTCAAGCCTGAGTAAGAATTTCCTATGTTGTCTCTAGCCTCTTTCCCTCCTCCCTCACTGAATACTTCCAGCCTCTCTCCTCAACCGTAAGTCTCTAGCAGTCTCCTCCCAGCAACCACTTTCCTTAGGAAGCGTTCACTCTAGGTAAGGCTTTGCTACAGCAATACAACTTTAAATTTTTCACCTTCCAGAAGATTACTGTCTCCAAAACCTTTTATATACAGACATGTATATGTGCCCTGGTGGCACTACTGGGTAAACTTGGGCTGCTAACCACAAGGTCAGCAGTTCAAACCCACCAGTAGCTCCACAGGAGAGAAAAAGGCTTTCTGTTCCTATAAAGCCTTGAAAACCCTATAAAAACACAAACTTACCAGCAACGCTGTGATGCCAACTCATAGTGATCCTATAGGACAGTATAGAACTTCCCCTGTCACTTTCCAGGACTAAGCTTCATCTTTCTCCTAAAGAGCAGCTGTTGGTTTTGAACTGTTGACCTTGCAGTTAGCAGCCTGACACATAACCACTATGCCACGAGAGCTCCCTTTAAACCCTATATAAGGGCACTCTAAGTCAGAATCAACTCAGTAGCAGTGGGCCTATCTTTCACTGCCTCTACATTGCTACCAAAGTGAATCATGCCCCTCTCCTGCCTGAAGTCCTTTCATGAATTCCCCCACTGACTTTGTGACAGTTCATATACTTGATGTATCATGGTGTTGAACGTTCTCCTTAGTATTCTTAACTCTCCAACCTCATTGTCCACTGCTTATGACATTTAGATTCCTGAAGCTCTTAGCGAGATGTAATTTGCTAAATAGTCCAAATTCTGAGTACGAGGGCTCTCAGCATATAAAAAGCTCTTAATCAGATATGTATTGAGTGAAGACACAAGCTGGAACCATATTCCATATCAATTCCACATATTAGAAAAATTGTTCCACATTATCTTCAAGCATCCAGACAACTGCGTAACTATATCTTACCACGCTGCGAAGGCAGCATCTGCTTCTCGTGCCTATTAAGGATTGGAAAGTAGTAGATCTTCAATATTGAATGGATGCGTCAATGGATAAATGGATTGTGAACGTCTATAAAAGAATTAGGAGAGGCGATCTAGATAAGATACGCAGGATAAACAAGCTGGAGTAGAAAACAAAGGGACCGATGGTTCCAGGGGGAAATGG